ATACTCAACTTAAACCACAGTTAAAGGAACACCAGCCCACTCAGATGAAAAAGAATCAGCAAAAGAACTCTGACAATTCAAAAAGTCATTGTCCTCTTATTTCCAAAAGAGTGCACAAGATCCCCAGCAATAGATCTGAACCAGATTGAAATGACTGAAATGACAGACAATTCAGAATCTAGATAACAAGGAAGTTCAATGGCTTTAGGAGAAAGGTGAAACCCAATTCAAGGAATCAAAGGAATCTAGTAAAACTATGCAAGAGCTGAAAGACAAAATAGCCATTTTCAAAAAGAACCGAACTGAACTTCTAAAATTGAAAAATTCACTACAAGAACTTCATAATTTACAACAGAATAGATTAAGCTGAGAAAAGAAGCTCAGAGCTTGAAGACCAGTTTAGTGTTTTCAATTCAACTTAGATAAAAATAAGGAAAGAAGAATATTTAAAAAATGAAAAAAAACTTCTCAAAAATATGGGATTACACAGACACCAAACCTAGGACTCATTGGCATTCCTGAGGCATTCCTGAGAGAGAAAACAACTTTGGAAACATATTTGAAGATACAGTTCATGAAAAATACCCCAATCTCACTAGAGATATCAACATGCAAATTCAAGAAATACAGAAAACTCTTGTGAGATACCATACAAGATGACCATCCCCAAGACACACAGACATCAGATTCACCAAGGCCAATGTTAAAGAAGAAATCTTAAAGACAGCTAGAGAGATGAGTCAGGTCACTTACAAAGGAAACCCCATCAGGATAGTAGCAGGCTACTCAGCAGAAACTTACAAGCCAGAAGAGATTGGAAACCAATTTTCAGCAGCCTTAAAAAGAATAAATTCCAATGAAGAATTTCATATCCCAGCAAACTAAGCTTCAAATGCTAAGAAATTGTAACCACTAGACCAGTCTTACAAAAAGTCCATAAGGGAGTGCTAAACATGAAAGCTAAAGAACAGTATCTGATACCACAAAAACACAATTAAGCATATAGCCTACAGACACTATAAAGAAGCTACACAAACAACTCTACAAAACAATCAGCTAAAAACACAATTTCAGGATCAAAACTTTACATATCAGTGCCAACCCAGAATGTGAATGGAAGAAAGACCCATTTAAAAGGCATAGGATGGCAAACTGAATAAAAAGACAAGATCCAACTGTCTGCTGTCTTCAAGAAGATGCATCTCACATGTAACAACACCCACAGCCTCAAATTAAAGGGAAAAAGAACTGCCATACAAATGGAAAACAATAAAGAGCAGGAGTTTTAATTCTAATATCAGATAAACCAGACTTTAAACTGAAAACAATTAAGAAGGGCAAACAAGGGTATTACTTAGTGGCAAAGGGTTCAATTCAACAAGAAGACTTAACTACTTTAAGTCTATACACATCCAACATTGGAGCACCAGACTCATAAAACAAGTTCTTCTTGACCTAGACAAAGACCTCAACAGCCACATAATAATACTGGGAGATGTCAACTCCCCAGTGACAGGACTAGGCAGATCACTGAGGGAGAAAACTACAAAGAAATTCCAGACTTAATCTCGACAGTCGACCAATGGGACCTAATAGACATCTACAGAATACTCCACCCAAAATCACAGAATATACATTTTTCTCATCTGCACAAGAAACATATTCTAAGATCAAACAAATATGTTTTGGTCATAAAGCAAGTCTCAATAAATTCAAAAAAATCAAAATTATATTGAGCACGTTCTCACATCACAGTGCAATAAAAACAAAAACCAACACCAAGCAGATCTCTCAAAACTACACAAATACATGAAAATGAAGGAACTTGCTCCTGAATAAGTTTTGTGGAAACAATGAAATGAAGGCAGAAACCAAAAAATTATTCGAAATTTGCAAAAATAGAACCGCATATTAACAAAATCTTCGGGATGGAACTAAAGCATGTTAAGAGGAAAGTTTACAGTGTCAAACGCATTCATAAAAAAATTAGAAAGATCTCAAATTAACAATCTAACTTTGTACCTAGAGGAACTAGGAAAAAAAAAAAAGCTAACAAAAGAAAAGAAATAACTAAGATCAGAACTGAATTAAATTAAGACTCAAAAATCCATACAAAAGATCAATGGAAAGAAGAATAGGTTTATCAGAAGAATAAAAAAGACTGACAGGCTTTTCATTAGATTAACAAAGGAGAAAAAGGGAAGATCCAAATAAGCACAAACAGAAATGACGAAGATGACATTACAACTGATCCTACAGAAATACAAAAGATCCTCAGAGACTATCATGAACATCTCTATGAACACAAATTAGAAATCTAAAGGAAATAAATTCTCCAAAGACTGAACCAGGAAGAAAGTGAAAACCTGAACAGACCAATAACAACTTCCAAATTTGAGTCAGTAATTAAAAACCTACCAACAACAAAAAAAGCCATGGACTAGAAGGATTCACAGCTGAATTCTACCACACATACGAATAAGAACTGGCACCAATCCTACCGAAAATATTCCCCAAAAAAATTGAGGAGGAGGGACTCCCCCTGCTCCCTAACTCATTCTACAAGACCAGAATTATCCTGACACAAAATCTGGCAAAGACATAACAAAAAAGAAAACTTCAGGCCAATATCCCAAATGAACACAAACATAAAACCCGAAAAAAAAAAAAAATAGCGAAATGAATCCAGCAGCACATTAAAAGGTTAATTCACCATGATCGAGTAGGCTTTATTCCTGGATGCAGGGTTGGTTCAACATATGCACATCAATAAATGTGATTCACCACATACACAGAATCAAAAACAAAAAGCATATGATCATCTCAATAGACACAGAAAAAGCTTTCTACAAAATCCAACATCTATTTATGATAAAAACCCTCAATAACAAGGCTTCGAAGGAACATACCTCACAATAATAAGAGCTATCGATGACAAACCCACAGCCAACATCATACTGAATGGGTAAAAGCTGGAGTCATTATCCTTGAGAACTAGAATGAGACAAGGCTGCCCACTCTCAACACTCCTATTCAACATAGTACTGAAAGTGCTAGTCAGAATAATCAGACAAAAGAAAGAAATAAAATGCATTCAAATAGGAAAGGAAGTCAGTCATATTATCTCTCTTCACTGATGATATGATTCCATACCTAGAAAACACTAAAGATGCTGCCAAAAGGCTCCTGGAACTGATAAATAACTTAAGTTTCAGGATACAAAATCAATGTACAAAAATCAATAGCACTTCTATACACCAAAAACATTCTACCTGAGAGCCAAATCAAGAACACACACCAATTTCCAACAGCAAAAACCTATGCATACATCTAACAAAAGAGGTGAAAGATCTCTACAAGAACTACAAAACACTGCTGAAATAAATGAAAGACAAGACAAATAAACAGAAATATATTCCATGCCCATGAATTGGAAGAATCAATATTGTTAAAATGGCTATACTGGCCAAAGCAATTTATAAATTCAATGCTATTTCTGTCAAACTACCAACATCATTTTTTGCAAAATTAGAAAAACCTATTCTAATATTCACATGGAACAAAGGCAGAACCCAAATTACCAAAGCAATACTAAGCAAAAAGAACATTACCTGATTTCAAACTATACTATAAGGCTATAGTAACCAAAATAGCATGAGACTGGTACAAAAACAGACACATAGACCAATGAAACAGAATAAAGAACCCAGAAATAAAGCCGTACACCCAGAACCATCTGATTTTCAATAAAGTCAACAAGAGGAAGCAGTGAGGAAAGGACTCCCTGCTCAAAAGAAGAATGAAGCTAGTCTCTACCTTTCACCATATACAAAAATTAACTCAAGATGGATTAAAGATGTAAATATAAGACCTCAAACTACAAAAATCCTACAAGAAAACCTAGGAAATGCACTTCTTGACATCAGGTTTGGCAAAGAATTTATGACTAAGTCCCCAAAAGCAATTACAACAAAAATGAAAATTGACAAATGGGACCTAATTAAACTAAAGAGCTCTGCACAGCAAAATAAATTATCAACAGTAAACAGCCTAGAGAATGGGAGAAAATATTCACAAACTATGCATCCAACAAAGGTCTAATATCCAGAATCTGTAAGAAATTTAAACAAATCAAAAAATTTTTTAACCAAATTTTTTTTGGTTAAAAAAAACTCGTTTAAAAAATGGGGCCGGGAGCGGTGGCTCACACCTGTAATCCTAGCACTTTGGGAGGCCGAGGAAGGCGCATCACGAGGTCAGGAGATCGAGACCATCCTGGCTAACAGAGTGAAACCCCGTCTCTACTAAAAATACAAAAACTTAGCTGGGTGTGGTGGCGGGCGCTGTAGTCTGAGCTACTCGGGAGGCTAAAGCAGGAGAATGGCGTGAACCCGGGAGGCGGAGCTTGCAGTGAGCAGAGATCGTGCCACTGCACTCCAGCCTGGGCGACAGAGACTCCGTCTCAAAAAAAAAAAAAAAATCGGCAAAGGATATAAATAGACACTTATCAAAAGAAGGCATTACAAGTGGCCAAGGAACAAATGAAAAAATGTTCATCATCACTAATCATCAGAGAAACACAAATCAAAACTACAATATACCATCTTACACCAGTCAGAATGGTGATTATTAAAAAGTCAAAAAATAATAAATGCTGACAAGTCTGGGGAGAAAAGAGAACACATACACACTCTTGGTGGGAATGCAAGTTAGTTCAGCCACTGTGGAAAGCAGTTGAGATTTCTCAAAAACTTATAACAGGACTACTGTTTGACCCAGCCATCCCATTACTGGGTATATACCCAAAGGCAAATAAATAATCCTACAAAAAAGACATATGCACTCATATGTTCATTGCATCACTATTCACAATTGCAAAGATATAGAATCAACCTAAGTGCCCATCAATGGGAGAGTCGATAAAGCAAATGTGGCACATATACACCATGGAATATTACGCAGCCATAAAAAGACTGAAATGTGTCCTTTGCAGCAACATGGATGTAGCTGGAGGCCATTATCCTAATTAACACAGGAACAGAAAACCAAATATCATATGTTCTCACTTATAAGCGTGACCTAAATAATGGAATACATATGGACAGAAAGATGAGAACAATAGACACTTAGAGATGTCTAAAGAAGGGAGAGGGGAGGGGAGGGAAGGGAAAATGGGCTGAAGACCTACCTATCAGGTATTATGCTCAGTACCTGTGTGACAGGATCATCTATATTCCAAACCTCAGCATCATGCAATATACTCATGTAACAAATTTGCTCAGGTACTCCTGAATCTAAAATAAGAAATTATTTTTAAAATATATACATAGGCTTAAAACTAAAGAATAAATCATTTTAAATCAGAGATATGCATGTCTGAGTATATATACAGTTACATATTGGAATACTTTTCTAACGAAAAGAGTAAAATCTGTTTTTCCAAAATATCTTTTTAAAAAGAGGAATTTACAAGTTTATATTTTAATTATACTCAAATTATAGCCAGAAAAAAATTTCAGTCAGTGGATAGTGTTCCATAACCTAGTGTCTGCAAAGCAACTATTTTAATATTTCTAGTATTAAAATTTTAATATTCAGTTAGGTTTGTGGATATCTATTCATACCTGAATGCATACACATACATATGCATACAAATATCTGTATACATATTCTATATAGTATATTTTTCAATTTTTGTTAAGAGAATAACTTTGGAAAATAATCTTCAATCAGAGTAGAATAAAAAAACAAAAGCACTAAATGGCATATACATTCCTGCTGTAGATGTTTACAAATGCAGGTGCCAGTACCAGAGTTCCTACAAACCAATCATGATACTCCACCTATATTACTGCCTATACTTTGTAGCCCTACAAAGGACTCTATGACACATGAGGACTCTATGAGTCAGAATTCCTCATATATAAAATAGGATAAAATGCTACCTATAGTTCATGCAATGTTATGAGAATTAAATGAGCTAATCCAATTAAAGTGCTTACTCTGATAGGTTAATATTAAAAACAAGTGCTCATTCCCCAAGACCTAAATTAAGAGACATATTTTGTCATAGTGGACAATGTACATAAAGAAGTGCACATAAAGGACAGTGAAATATGTCTCAGATAATATTAACGTTAATCATAAGATGTATAATCAAACTGTTAGATGTGAAGAAATATCAGTTTCTATCTTTATAATTTTTAGATTTGAGGAAATATGATTCCTTCATTACAACTACAACTGACCTATATCAAAATAGAATAAAAATTAAAAAATTTTGTTTGTTACAAAAATGACCTAATTTATCAAGTATTTATTTACCAAGATAAATATTTAAACATATCATTTGATAATATCTAAGACAAAACAGAAATATAGTTGCAAGGTACAATCAATATAAGATTTAAAATTCCATTCCCTTCATCATACAAAAATAGGAATTGTGTATAAAAAGCTACATAAAAATACTTAGCATAGCACTGTTCATAATCGAAAATTGGATATATCTATATATCTAATGTCCCACTGCTGAAGATCACTTATGATACAGGCATTGAGTGGAAAATTATATAACCATTTTAAATGACTTTGAACTAAATTTTTGGTGGCAAAGGAAAATGTTCATAAAGTTGAAAAAAGCAAGGAACAAAAGTGTTCCTATAGTATGATTCAAAGTTTATAAAACAGTATAAATGTGTGTGCATACACACACAAAATAAAAACCCTGAAAATGTATATATCAAAATATTACTATTTCTGGATAGAGGGATTAGAGGGATTTTAAAACTTTCTTCTTGTGTGTATTTCCCATATTCTTTTTTGGTAATCTAAAAGTTAAAAGATTTCAAATTCCTGTTTTAGTTTTTACCCATATATAAATTTTGTAGCAGGAGGATTTCATAGACACTAAGACTCCAAATATGATCCCATGTTTAAGAATACAATTTTTTCGACGCTGGCATCCCCGGAGCCTGCGGCGGGTGGCTGTGACAACCCCAGCGCTGACGGCGGCTGGGGCATCACCGCGGGCCTCGACCCCGAAATGGCGCTGCTGGCTGAACACCTGCTGAAGCCGCTGCCCGCGGACAATCAGATCGAGACTAGGCACTTCCTCGAGGCAGTGTCCCACCTGCTGCCCTTCTTCGATTACCTTGGGTCCCCAGTGTTTACTCCCATCAAGGCAAACATAAGCGGCAACATCACGAAAATCAAAGCCGTGTACGACACCAACCCAGCCAAGTTCTGGACCCTGCAGAACATCCTGGAGGTGGAGAAAGAAATGTATGGAGCAGAGTGGCCCAAAGTAGAGGCCACACTGGCACTGATGTGGCTGAAAAGAGGCCTCCACTTCATCCAGGTCTTCCTCCAGAGCACCTGTGACGGGGAGCGGGACGAGAACCACCCCAATCTCATCCGCGTCAACGCCACCAAGGCCTACGAGATGGCCCTCAAGAAGTACCATGGCTGGATCATGCAGATCTTCCAGGCAGCACTGTACACAGCCCCCTATAAGTCCGACATCCTGAAAGCGCTTTCCAAGGGGCAGAATGTGACAGAGGAGGAGTGCCTGGAGAAGATCCGCCTCTTCCTAGTCAACTACACGGCCACCGTCGATGTCATCTATGAGATGTACACCCAGATGATGGCCGAGCTTAACTACAAGGTGTAGGCGTTCTCACCGCTGGACACGCCCCCGACTCGTGGCCACACGGAGAAACAGGCAAACCAGAATCACTGTGAATCAAGTCTGTGAGCTGCCCCTGGCTTGCGTCCCCGAGTCCTGCCAGAGTCTGCAGGGGACAGCCCTTGTTTTTTAAGTCTTTTTTTTTTTTTTTTTTGGCCTATTCTAAAGGACCAATAAATAATGATCTTACTTTCAAATCTTGGAATTTCACGACAGCACAGACTGACTTTATAGCCTCATTTCAGCGTGGCAAAAATCGATTAACACTTCTAATGAGTCAAGTCCCAGGGATTTTTGGTTTTGTTTTGTCGCCAAGGAGGAACACAGCTCTGGGGAAATGGTGTCGTCCACCTCATTTTAAAAATAAGCACCTGATGGCCGGACACTGTGGCTCACGCCTGTAATCTCAGCACTTTGGTGGAAGCCCAGGTGGGCAGATCACCTGAGGTCAGGAGTTTGAGACCAGCCTGGCCAACATGGTGAAACCCCAACTCTACTAAAAATATAAAAAATTAGTCAGGCGTGGTGGTGCACGCCTGTAGTTCCAGCTACTCAGGAGGCTGAGGCAGGAGAATCGCTTGAACCTGGGAGGTGGAGGTTGCAGTGAGCTGAAATCGCACCATTGCACTCCAGCCTGGGCAACAAGAGAGACTCGTCTCAAAAAAAAAGGGGGGAGAGGTGGGTGGACCAATTGAGGTCAGAGTTTGAGACCAGTCTGACCAACATGGTGAAGTCTCTACTAAAAATATAAAATTAGCCAGGCACAGTAGCACAAGCCTGTAATCCCATCTTCTTGGGAAGCTAAGGCAGGAGAATCGCTAGAACCCTTAGGTGGAGGTTACAGTAGCCAAGATCGCACCACTGCATTCCAGTCTGGGCAACAAGAGCGAAACTCCGTCTCAAAAAAAAAAAAAAAAGGCATGTGACCTTATGAGGCTCTCGCTGTATTGCTATTTTGGTTATGTTAAGGGCTACAAAGAGTTTGATTTGAAATCATGCAGGGCCTCTATGTGGGATTTTTTTTTTTTTTTTTTTTTTTAAAGCAAACTGGTGTGTATTCTCATGTGGTCTGCATAGTCCAGTCTCACAGCACTATTGTAAACCCTGCTCTTTCTATCTAGCTAGACAGGTTTTTTTGTTTGTTTTCTTTTTTGTGTTTTTGTTGTTGTTGTTGTTGTTTTACAGCTGAAACCAACCAGCAAGCCCTTGATGACCAAGAGGCGTTTCTTTCAAAGCTATAGGGCACAAACAATTGACCATAGATGACTCTGTCTGCATTCTTCTGCAGAATTATTTCCTTCAGGGACAGATTTTTCAACCTAAGAAACTACCTACTGTTTGTATTCTCTTGACGGGGAGAGATGAACCCTTCAGCCGCTAAGATTCAAGAAAACGCCTCACTGCCTTAACCTTAACTGTTCTTCCTGGAGCCAAAAAAAGCTGTATTTTTTTAAAGTGCTGGGGCAAACAAAGCAACCCCAAAAGAACTGATGCGTGTTTTAAAAGAAAAAACCCAATAAGGAACAACTGGTGATTTTTATGCATAAACTAAATAACCCTTAATAAATAAATCTCTATTTTGGAATTTAAAAAAAAATACAATTTTTTCAATATTTTTTTTTAAATACATTCTCAATGACACCTATTTTAGCCTTGTAAGCTTGATATGTTTAACAGAGAGAACTAAAATTGAACAGTGGATCAAAAAACAATTTCTTCTTGGGAGAGGAGGGGAACTAGACCAAGAGCAAATATTGATAATATTGAAATATATGAATTAATCTATAACTCTTATTTCAAAATGTTCAATAACTCTTGGCACAGAGATGACTTTTTATTGGCTTTTTATTGAACGCTATGTGATTCTTAACACTGTCATCTTCCACCCCCCTCCTTAATATATATGAATCCAAGAAGCTTGCAAGTCATATTAAAATATTCTTTCTTTAGTTTGGCAGAAATTTGTACTTTTGACCTTGAATTTTCCCTACTACCTAATCAAAGAGTTTTATCATAAATAAACATTTACTACTGCAGGCATTAAAATGGAATAGGACTTAATAACTAGTAAAATTCCTTCCTAACTTCAGGTTTTCTAAAGATCTAAGTAACTGATGAAAAATTGAATCCTTTAACATGAAAAAACAAAAGTCATATTCACATTTCAAGTTATATGTGTCAAAGCACTGGTGCTGAAACAGAATAGGTTATCTTCTAATTTCACATCACTGAGTTATTCACTGCAGTAATGAGGAAACATATTATTGAGAAAGTTATACTGGAAAATTACCTAACATGCTCTGACAAGAAAAAAAAAAAACTAACAATAAAAAGAAAAGCAGCCAAATGAGATGAAAAAATTATGAATTAGTATGGTGGTTTTTTATTACAAAGCTAAATATAGGGACAGATTTTTTCCACTTTGATCACTCTCACACTGTTGCACTGAAAATAAAGAAAACAATAACACATAGAATGCAAGAACACTGATCAACACAATCTACAATATTTACACAGAGATTATTAGTCACAAAGGGTTTTAGAGTATTCATTTAGTTAAGCAATAACATTTCCTGAGGGCTTTCTATGTGATGGGAACTTTGCTGGTTATCAGAAATGCAAAAAATGAAAAGCCACAATTCTTGCCCTCAACAAGATCATACACAGGGAGGTTTACACATCTACCACCTGTGATAAATCAGCTCAATTACATGGGCACCAAATGTGAAATGATAATCACTATGTTGCCTAGTAAAGTTAGATAATTTGGTTTAAAAATTCCCTCTTAATTTTTTGGTTTTACAATGCAGTTAAGATGTGTGATTAATGAGATGCATTGAAAAACAAGATGAGTATATTACAAAAGTATTGTATATGGGGAAAATCTTTGTATTTCAGCAATTTTTAATATTTACTTGAATTTTTCACTCTCCCACAAAACACCCACTACTTGGAGTCCTATTGCACAAATGTCAATCTATTGTTGGTTTTTCTTATTCCATAATAAGAAATTCATACATTTACATTAAAACACTACCTTGTTCATCTTTAAGACTTCCAATTAATGGTGCTATGCTTTAGTTCCCAGTATTACAAAGGCAGAATAGATTTTTAAATAGTACTGGAAAAAATGGTCATATGAATGAGTGAGTATATGAATCCTGAAAACTGAAAACTAAAGAGGTTGCCCCTTCACCACCACTTTTCTATTCCAAAAAGACTAGAATCATTGAAGGTATCTGATGTAAAAAATGAGTACCTTCTGAAATAGTTCATCTCCTACATCCTCATAAGCCAACTTGAAATCTTACTGATTCTAAAAGCCTCCATTTAGAAATAATCACCTAACGTCCTTCCGTGGTCTCCAAAATAATCTTCCCTCTGAATATCCATTACATCTGGGTGGCACTACCCTTATGCTACTTATCTCAAACTACCTTAAATTTAGTTATTTGAGCAAAACACCTTTAACCCTTTTAGATGGAAATAGCTCCTAAGGGCAAACGACATGTCTTGGTATCAGTTACACTACTTTAGTGTTGTCCTCAAACACTCATTGACTGTGTAACACTGTGCAAGGAACTTAACCTCTTTATTGTATAGTATGTGTTATAATACCTACCTCATAGCATTGCTGTGACCAATAAATGAACACATATTAAATACACAGAAATACAATCAATCCTCATCCACAGATTCCACATTTGTGAATTTGCCTACTCAATAAAATTTATGTGTAATCCAACATCAATATTCACAGCACTCTGGCAATAATTTGTGGAAATGTGCAGAGGGGGAGAATTTTGAGTCACCTGATTTGTATCCTGTCAGCTGAAACTGAACAAAGTAATGCTCTGCTTTGTTTCTGCTCCCATACTATAAAGGAGTATTCTTTTCACAGTCTATTAAGTGCAACAATGTTCTCATTTTTGTGCTTTTTGTTGATGATTTGGCTATTTAGAATGCCCAAGTGCTGTCTAGTGTTCCTAAGCACAAGATGCCTGTGATAGGCCTTAGGGAGAAAATATGTGTGTTACAAAAGCTTCCTTCAGGCATGAGTCATACTGCTGTGGGACATGAGTTCAATATTAATGAATCAACAATATATATATTAAATAAGGTGTCTTTAAATAGAAACACACATTTTAGTGATGTATTGATACGTGGACAAAAATATTGTGACCAGAGGCTTATAGGACCTAACATTGTAATTCCAGTAAGAGCTAATTTATTATTCACTGCTACTTCACAGAACAAATCTACTTCAAGTAGTGAGAATCAACTGTACTTAGAGTACTGACAAATACATAGTAAGCTAAGGAACTATTAACTACCATCAGAGTTGTATTGTTAATAGCACATGGTAGGTACTTGAACATCTGTTAAAACAGTGCCTGAATAAAATAAAAATAAGGACTAGATTTTAAAAAGGAAGAAAATTTCCAAATTATTTTTATGACAGTCACATAACATTGGCCCCAAACCTTCACAAAACTGCACAGAAAACTGCACAAATAAAACACACTAAAGAATAACAATGCAAAAACTTTAAATGAGATAATATGCAAAAGAATCCAAAACACTAAAAAAAATTTAAAAGAGGGGTACATTCCAGTTCAAAGGTTTTTAATATTACAAATGCATTAATAAAATTCATTATATTAATGGAAGATTATATGTTTATTTTCATAACTGCTGAAAACTCAAGTGACATAATTCAACATCATTCATAATTACCTAATTACATAATTAAAATAAAAAATTTAAAGTTTACATAGAAATTAAGAGGTGTTTGTTAGCCTGAATACATATAGATATAAAGATATACACATGTGTCTGTACTTGCCCAATTAGCCAGCAACTTACTTAACTGGAAATGTTAGATACTTTCTCATTAAAATAAGGAATAAGACAAGGATGTCCACTATCTCTTCTATTATTTAATATCTTTTGGTGTTATTAAACAACGCAATTAGAGAAGAGAAAACATTAGAGGCCAAAAATGGAAGAAAAAGGAGGAAAGCAATCTTTACTTGCAAACAATATAATTTTTCTATCAGGAAGCCAAAAACAACCAATAAAAACCCTAAAATAATTCACAAAAGAATTATAAGCAATATATAAAATAAATAAGCAGACAAATTAATGTTTTCTCCTCCAACCACCCAAAAAAACCTACTTAGTTAAAGTAATTGAGAAGACTCTATGACTATAATGAAAAGTAAAATAAAATACCTAGGCCTGTATCTAGAAAAAAAAATGCAAAAAACAAAATGTAAAATCAGAGAACAGAGGTAAAAGGATAATAAAAGAAGAAGATATACAAAAAAGGGTAAGACCAAAGTGGTGAATAAAATCCATCAAAATCTTTATCTTAAATTGGAAAGAGGATAAATTTGGGATTCACGTTTTTATCTCCAAAAA